ACCATTATTGGGGCCATGCACAGTGGCTCACACCTGCAACCCTAGCACTTTGGGAGGCCAAGGCAGGATCACTTGAGCCAGGAGTTTGAGACCAGCCTGGGCAACATAGTGGGACCTCATCTCTACTAAAAAAAAAAAAAAAAAAAAAAGCAGTGCATGCCCTTAGTCACTGCACTAAAGCATCCTAACCTGGTAACCTTGCAGTCCATCTGCAATCCCACACCTAGAGCAGACATCGTGAATCTATTTTAACAGTCTTCCCTGTATGCCTAGACCTAGGCAGACATCACTGCTCTATCCTAGCACACCTGGACCCAGGTTCCCCCTCAGGCAGCCCCTCCTGGTCTTGGGAGTCAGGCCTTTAAGGTGAATCTGATCTGACTTTCCTGTGTGGGCATGGACAATGGGCCTGTTAGAAAATTCTAGCTTTGGAGAAAGGGGGCATAAAGCTAGTTCCAGGATAGGCAAGAAAGATGTCAAAGGCACAGTGACTGCCCAGCATTGAGTCACCACTCAGGTGTCAGACCTCACCAACTAGCACCAATCTGGACCCCTGCCCAGGGGCCTCCAGGGGTCTAGGGGCAGACGGTGCCCTTTCCAGAGTCCGGGAGGCCCATTTAAGCAAGATGTCAGAAATAGAACCTCTGCCAAGAGGTGCCTGTCCTATGCCCTGAGCTAGCCCTGCACCTCCCTGCCCCCTACTTTGCCCCTGGGCCGGCCCGCCATGCTGACCTGGTTGGGACAGAGACACTGCAGAGAGTAGTACGCAAACTGGTCTCGCACGTTCACCAGGTTGTTGTTGGGGTTGATGTGGTCCAGGCAGTGGGATTCGGCCTTGCCAGATGTTTTGCAGACGTACTTGCAGTTCCCAAAGAGACAGTGGAAGTGGAACTTGTTGGCATACTTGCAGTCCGTGGCGAGGCAAGGATCGCTGGAAGGAAACCACAGCCCAGAAGGTCATTGCCATTCCCAAGCCTTCCCTGCTGGTGTCCTGACCTCGCTTGTGTTGGAGTTCACTCCCCCATGACCAGCGGTACCACCAAGAGGGATGGCCTGGGCTGCTGTCCTGCTCAACAGGATGACTCAGCCAGAGACTACAGATCCCAGCATGCATTCCTGCCTCCTTTTAGGAGCTCTGCATGGTGCACAGGAATTGCAATATGCAGGGTGCCCAGAGCATTGCATGCTGGGACACGTAGTTTCCACGGCCACACCTCAGGATTATAGATAAGGATGGCTGGAATAACTTCTTGGACTGGAAAATAAGGATGGTGCTGCCAGCCCTGGCGGGGTGCCGTGAGGCCCTGGCTGGTGTGGCATGGGCGCCGCAGTGGATGTGGCTGACTGACAGACTGCAGATGGGTGCTCGGCCCCACCAGGAAGCGCTGCTGCCACAGGCCTTTAGCAAGCAGGAGTGCGTGCCTGGTGTCAGCTCCTGGGGGCTCACAGCTGCTGGGCTCCCCAGGGTCAGCTCGGGGCCCATGGTGCCCACCCACTCAGACTCCACTTGCCGGCGGAGTGGGAGAGCTGCTGGGGCAGAGGGGGTGTGCTGGCCTGCCCTGGGCCGCCTGCAGGATGCAGAGGGGTGCGGGAGGACACTGGTCCCAGCCTTCCACTCTGGTTGGCAATACTGTAGTCCCCTCCCAGGGGACCCACAGTGGGCACCCTGACCAGGCCTGGGAAACCTGAGCTGCCATTCTGGGGAGGAGGAGGGGAGGGGAAGCTGGTGGGGGGAACGGAGAAGAGTGCCGGGCCCCTTCCACGCTGTGGGCCCAGCCCCAGGTGCTCAGAGAGGGAGGACAGCTGCCACTCAGGCGATATAAATAATCCAATTTATTACTTTTATTGAGAACAGGAAGCCGCACACATGACAGTACAAAGTCACCGTTCTCCCTGCAAGGAGCCACCACCATCCAGTGAGGAGGGTCCCTTCCACCCAAGAGCTCAGACCACTGTGCAGGCCAGTGACAGCCTGGAGGGGCCTGGCCCCCCCGTGCCCCACCCGTGACTTCACGTGCCCTGAAGAGATTCAGCCATGGGTGTGAGCCACAGAGGAGGCCAATACAGAGGCCTGGAGGGAGACGCAGCCCTCCATGTCAGGCTGGGAGACGTCCTCTGAGGACCACCATGCCCAGTCCACCCCAGCTGGCCCTGGCAGGATCACCACATGCCCTGCAGGAGCAGCGGCCACTGCCGCCACTATTGGCCCATGCTGGCCGGCCTGCTCTGGGACAGGCAGTGAGGTAGGAGCAGCAGCATCTTTGGCTAGAAGGACATCACCCGGTGGCCATGCCCCAGAGAAGCTGGGGACAGCAGCGCCATCCGCAGTGAGGAACAGGGCCTCCTAGCGCCCTTGCTAGCACCTACTCCCGAGACGCGAGGGGAACGCGGGACTCGCGGCTCATCGAGGGACTCACTTCTCCTGGAACTGGAGGAATCCGGGTTTGACCTGGGGCTTGGCGTTCTCTAGAGAAGTCGTTGCCAAGGGCGAGGCGGGCAGGTGAGGCACTGACGCTGGGATCTGAGGCATCTGGGGTATGGCGGAAGCCAGCTGCTTCCAGGCGAGGAGGGTTGGGGTGGAGGGCACGGAGGCCGGGCTGGGAGTGGGCCCCTCCAGAGAGGACACCGTGGCCGTGGTGACAGGAGGGACCGGAGGGGATGAGGGGGCCATGGGAGGTTTGGTCTCGGCAGCTGAGGCCGGGAAGGCAGCCTCTGCGTTTCCTTTTGCTGCTCCTCCCTCTGTCCGGAAGTGGAAGCTGCGAGAGGTAGAAGAGGGGGTCTCATGGGGGGCAGTGAAGACAGGTGCGGAGGGGCACGCATGTGACCCCATCACAGGCCTGGACCCCGGTGTTCGTCCCTACTCGTCCCCATCACTCAGCTCCGGAAGTCTCCTGTGACCCCACCAGGACAGAAGGACTGGAGGGCAAACTGCCATGTCCTCTGGGTCCAAACTTGGGCTCCTGGCTTGGGCCTAACCATGCCTTCCTACTTGTGCCCTTCCTCGGTCCCCAGCTCCTCCATGTGTGTGACAGCAGGCCCTGCCCCAGGAAGTCCCTTCCTTCCAGAACCTGCTCGGAGGTCTTAAAGGTAGGATTCTCAATATTCACAGTAGGCTTCCCCGCGTGCTACAGCCAAGGGTGTCTACGCGGTTGGAAAAGCCTTGGGAGCACTGCAGATCTGTTTTAAACGATTGCAAGTTCTGAGTTCCCCCCTCCCCCCTCTCCTTTTAAACAAACAAAAATATATATAAGTGGGCGGCTAGGCTCGAAGTCTTTTAACTCAATGGGATTTACATATTCATTTCATTATGTTTAGGTCAAAGGTAACCTAGAGATGTAATACTGTGGCTTGGAAAGGCCTTCAGCTAGGGTTCCTGCTCCAGTCACAGCCGTCTCTCCAGCTGGGCTCTGCGCCCCTCTGGCCTGCTCTGCAGGGAGCATGTGCTGGGACTGATGGCTTCCCTGGCAATGTGGGTGCAGCAGCAGCTGTTGCTTAGGGCCCCAGGTGGGGCCTGGACAGGGGCTCAGAGCCCCTGGCTGAGGGCTGCATGTGTGAAGGAGGATGGGAAGCCCACGCTTGCTGGGGCAGCACCTCTGAGAAGCCGACTCAGCTTCTGTGGTCTAGCGGGAACTGCTGTGCCGGCCCCAGCCCCACCCACCCCAGAGCCAGGCTGGGATCAGTGGGGCTCTGCTGAAATGACCCCTAGCACCCTACTCACTTTGCGTGCTTGATGGCCCCGTCCAAGGTGCTGAAGAGCGCGCCGCATTCCTCCACCACGCAGTGGAAGTGGGCCTTGTGGAGGAAGTCACACTGGCCATCACAGAAGTCCTTCGTACCAAACCTAGCCAGAGGAGCCGGCATTAGAGGAGAGCCTGGGGCTCCGGGGCGGGTGCTGCAGGAGGACGGGTGGGCGCGGCCGGCAGTCCCTCACCTGCGCAGGTACACCTTCCAGGGCTCTGCCAGCTTCTCCTGAACCAGCGCCTTCACGGCCTTGCCCAGGAAGGGTGAGGGCTCTGCAGCGGGGCTCCCCTCCGCTTCCGCCTTGATGTTCAGCAGGCTGCCCAGGCCAGGGTTGCCCTGAGACATCTGTGAGGACAGAGGCCGAGCATGGGGCTGGGGTAGCTTGGAACACAGGCACGGCTGCCTGGGGAGCAACAGTCGAAGCTCTGGGCTGCTGGGACCCACTGAGCCCTCAGAGCCAGCAGAGAACGCGGCCCGCCTGCTTGGCTCTGGCTGTGGCCAGGCCCTCTCTGAACGGAGAGCCTGCTGCGCTGCCCCGACCCCAAGAGCTGTGAGGCCTCCTCAGGGCTCCTCCACATGAGCCCGTGCCGCAGGATCCATCACTCAAGCCGAGGCCGCGACTCAGGGCGCACGCTGCAGCCCATCTTTCCCCAGACTTTGCGGCTCCCTGGTTATTTTCCTGCCAGAAGGTTTTCAAAAGAAGCGCAGAAGGAGGAGGGATGGGGGAACCCCTATGAATTCCTTGAGAACAAGAGGAGGCCCACAAAGGAGAGAGAGAGAGAGAGGGAGGGAAGGAGGGAGGGAGTCTCACGGGTGAGACTCAGACAGGCTCGCTGCAGTGGCCGGGAGGGGGTCATTGCAAGGCTCCAAGGGAAGGGAGGGGGACATGGGGACAGAGGCCAAAGGAAGGGGAAGGGGAAGGAGAGCAAGAGAGCAAGTGGCCAAGGAGTGGACGCCATGGGTCAGCGAGACTCCTTCCCCACCAAGTGCCCGGCTAGGACCCCTGTGGCGACAGGTCCAGCCCAGGCCCGGCCCCTCCTCAGGGCAGTCACTTGTGTACAGTAACCGAATTAATCTTGCTGTAGTCAAATGTATCATGTGAAGGGGAAAAATATATTTGAGATGATGTATAATTTACAAAGACCCTGCATTATTTAAAATAAATATTCCAGAGCGACCTCTCCGGAAGGCGTCCGAGACCATTACTCAACCCGAAAAGTGGAAATTGATGTTTTGCTCCCACTTTAGACCCCCCTTCCCCCTCTCCTTTTAAACAAACAAAAATATATATAAAATAAATAAATAAAATTAATAACGAGGCATGAACGAAGTTGAAGGGCTCTGGAAAAGCTTTTGGAGCCCTCCATCTGAAGGGAAAAAAAGGTGTCAGAGGCTGGAATATATTTCTTCAGCCAGTTCATTAAATTAATTTGTAAGCAGTGGCTCTGAAATTATATCCGATGAAAAATGGCCTCAAAATTTAAATGGTACAAACTCATCTTATTAGAGGCAAAACATTAAAAAACAAACACATCCCCCCACCCCCCAGCACAGCTTTAATTTCTCTGGGTGGGGGAACGGGAGGCGTGTGATGGATGGCTCTTACCTTATTCATAAGCGAGGATAAAAGAGATGAATTTGCCGGGACTGCGTGGCCATTTGATTCATTACTAGAACACATAAACCAAGGGGCTTGAGCTCAGACGGCCAGGGCCTGGGCCCTGGGGCTCACCCTCCGTGCCCGACCCTGGGGCTTCAGCCGTGCCCGCTGCAACTGCCCCGGCAGGACCACCCCGGGGCTCCAGCTCGAAGGTGCGGTTCCCGGGGCTGGCTCCCATGGGGGCCTCGCCTCACCTGGGCTCCTTCACAGTCAGGTCTAGACTGCGGTCCTGGGAAGCTTCGTGGGGGCCTGGGGCGCCGGTGCTCTCACTGGGTTCCGGCTTCACCTGGGCCGGGGGGAACCTGGCTGGGGTGACCTGCTGCCCGCTTCCTGCAGGGGAGGGGAGGGAAGATGCGTCAGAGGGGCTGAAGGCCTGGCCTGGGCACAGACAGCCGTGCCCCTGGAGGGAGGGCAGTGGGCTGGGTGGGCTCCGGCTGCTGGTCAGCGCTTCTCCCGCTGACGTGATCGCTCGCGACGCTAGCTCCTGTGTGGCAATTCTTCAAGTGATAATTATTGCAAAATTATGTCAAAGTTGTCCTGGCTCAGGGCCTCCTGGAGGAGAAGGGCGGGAGGCTGGGAGGGGGCTGGGGTGGGGGCGGGGGCCCTTCGTTTTCTCCACCAACTGTCACAGTCGATTTGTGGGGCTGCCGCTTAGGCTTTTATTAAAGACTCTGTTAATGCTGAGGGAAAGTGGCAGATCTGGACTGGGAGGGCCCCTCTGTGGTCCCCAGCCCGCGGTTGCCGGGGTGACGGCCCCCGCACGGAGCATGCCCGGGAAGGGCCTCTGCTGTGTCAGGGTGATGGGACCGATGGCCAATCAGAGCGGCCACACCAGGCGACCTCACAGTCAAGCTGTCCGGGGCAGGGACACGAGGCCAGGCTGGGCCGAGCTGGGTCCGGAAGGGAGCTGGGCGGGTGAGGCCGCAGGAGGCCAGCAGAGCAGGGGTAAAAGAAGTTGCTGACAGGGCCGTCCAGCGAGCCTTCCCCCACATTCCCCCAGTGACGGAAATATTAATTTGCCCCAAGGCGCTGTAGCTGACAGAGAGCTGTTTCAGAGACAGCAAGTGGCATTTTATTAAAAAATAAAACGGCCCCCTCCCCTGCGCTTGACCTTTCTTTTGGGAGAAGGAGACTTTTCTAATGAAAACAAAGTACTTGACAGTCTGGCCACTGAGGCCAGGTGGCCCTGGAGTGGGCCCTGCCCCATCCATCAGGCCCCTGGCTGGAGGGGCGTGGCCAGCGAGGCCCCACCCATGCCTAGACCAAGAGGTGGTTCCTCCGCGCAGCCGCCAGGCATGAGCACCCTACTGGGCCTGCGAGAGTTTTCAGACCTGGGGACTCCACATTCCAGCAGCTCTCCAAAGTCACCTGCCCAAGGTCCCAGGGAAACATGGCCCAGCTCCCCTGCCAGGCACTGGCAGCCTCTGTGAGGTGTGGGCAGAGCCCCGGGCTGGGCCACAGGGACCCTCAGTCTCAGCTGGTTCTGAGAGGGTTTCTAATGGGAACAGGGCATCTAGGCCCAGCGGAGCCCCACTCCTGCGGGCAGCGCCTTGGTTCATCACTTCCTAGCCATGTGCCTGGGACAGACCATCCCCGACCGTCTGCTGGCTCCACGGTGTGGGGCTCTGTCTGGCATCCTGCCTGCTGTGTCCCAGCACCCGGCTCGGAGCCTGGCTCTCAGCAAGCATCAGTAGTTGTTGAATGAATAAGTGACATGAGCCACATCCCAGATGTGAACTGAACTCTCCTCAAGGATTCAACAAATAGGAACTACCCAGAGCAGGGAAACGGGGAGAGGAGTAAGGTCAACAGAAAAGCACCCCCACCCCAATCCAGAGAAAAACGGAGGGACATTTTTTTAATGGAAAATTTATGAAATTATAGGAAGGCAGGAAAGAGAGCTGCGCCCCTCAGTGAACCAGCGTGAAGAAGGAAGACGCCGCTCTGGGGCTGTGGCCCTTTTCTGTTTGACAGGGCGGGGTCGTTTAAAGAGACAATTCCGCTTCCCAGTCACAGACCCAGCTTCAAGCACCAACAGCCACAGGTGGCCGGTGGCTGCCAAGTCAGACAGTACAAAATAGAAGGCTTCCATTGTCTGGAAAGTCCTACTGGGACGGCACTCATGGAGGAGGGAGCCTGGGCCTGGAGGTGTCCAGGTGTGAGGTGCAGGCCCCCTACCTCTGGGCTGGACGCAGGCCCCCCTCCAGGTCAGCTGGAGGAAACACTAGACACGCCAGGGGCCCTGGGCCTGCCCTCATCGGGGGTGGACTTGGGATGTGGGAGGGTGAGCAGACAGGGAGTGGGGACCTGCAGTGGCCCCAGGGATGTGGGGCAGCTGAGGAGGCAGGGACCATTGCCCCCAGCTCACAAATGGGGAAACAGAAGCATGGCCCCCCTATTGTGGGAGCCAGAACCAGGGGCCCCACACAGAAACCAACAGGATAGGGGTGAAGACCAGGCAACGAGGGGGCGCTGGCAGGCAGGGGCCACACGGACGCCTCTTCCAAACACCCCCCGACTCTGCTCTGCAGCCTGAGGCCAGGCGGCCACCCCAGTCCAGAAGGTGCCTGCTTTCTGGGCAGGACCCAGCCTGCTCACCTGGGTCAAAGGTGGCAGAGGGCTTGAGGGCAGCCGCAGCCAGCCTGGCCATCATGGGCGAGATGAGACCCTTGCTTGCAGAGATCCTCTCCATGATGGAGGTGGGCGGCGCTGGGACAGAGGCGGCAGCTGCGGGGACTGAGTCTCCAGCTCCCGAGGCGACCAGCGCGGGCGTGTCAGGGGTGGCTGAAGCTGCTGCCCCAGACGACACGGCACCCAGGAGGCTGGGGGTGCCCACGGGCAGGGAGGTGCTCCCACGGCCAGCCAGAATGGGGAAGTAGGGCGTGGGGGTGGGCAGGCCCGAGTTGGAGAGGGCCAGGGCCAGGGGGATCGAGCCAGGCAGGCCCTGGGGCAGCAGCCCCGAGATCTTGCTGTTGGGAGGCTTGGTGGCGCTGGGCCCAGCCTCGGTGGCGGCAGTGGCGGCAGCCAGGGATGCAGAGGACTGCTGGCTGGTAGGGGAGGCGCTCAGGCTGGAGTTCTTGCTGCTCAGGGCGGAGAAGTCGACAAGGTCGTCGTTGCTGGACTCCTCATGCTCCGTGTCCTTGGCGCCCAGCAGCGAGGGCGGCAGCCCCAGCGCGCCCGAGGAGCGGATGTGCCGGCGCTCATGCTTGCGCTTGTGAGAGGTCATCTGGCTGGTGGAGGTGAAGGTGAAGCCGCAGCCGGCGCGGATGCAGTGGAAGTGGTTGGTAGCCTTGCTGTACACGCAGCCCTCGTACTTGCACTCCTCGTACTTGTAGAACTTCTTGAAGCCGTCCTTGGCGTAGGCATCGTCCTTGATGTGGTAGCTCTTGTGCTTCTCAATGTCACACTTGTTCTTGAAAGTGAATGTGCAGCCGGGGCGCCTGGGTGGGATATTGGGAACCTGTCATGGGACCCAGACGAGGCCCCACCCTGCTCCCACCATGGTCCTGGGAGGGACAGTCCCCGGGTGGAAGACCCAGGCTGGACACCAAGGCAGGGGCCTGGGCTGTCCCAGGAGCCTGGGTCCCTGCCTTCTCTCCCGGCTTCTGCCCAGGAAGGCCCCCGCCAGGCTCCCGCTTACCTGCAGTGGAAGTGCGTGGTCTTCTGTCCGTAGAACTGGCAGTCGGCTGTGCCGCAGTCTTCGGTGGCTCGGAAGCGCTGGAAGCCGTCGTTAATGAGCTGGGTATTCTTCTTGTGGAAGTTCTCATGGGTCATCACGTCAGACGTGCTTGTGTACACCTTGTTACAGCCCACCTGCACAGGACGGGATGGTGGTCAGGCAAACGGAGGTCGACACCACTGTGTGTGGCTGGGGTCACTGACTTCTCTGCTCAGGGAAGCTTTGGCACCTCTGACTTCAAACTGGAGGCCTCGGAAGGTGGGTGTAAGAAGCGGAGTAGAAAGCCTCCCACAGCCGCTCAGGCCCCCCCGGAGGGACCCAGTGCTGCTGCGGCCGGCTCCGTCTGTGCTGAGGGTCAGGGCATCTCCAGAGACCCAGGGCACTTTTTGGCCCAGGGGAGGGAGCTGCATTCTGCAGGAGTTGGATTTTGAGTCCCAATCCATGGCCCTACCTCCAAAACCGTCAGTGGGTGGACAGGGGCTGGACCCTGGAGGTCACCTTTAGCCCAAGGATTTGCTTAGTGGACAGTTCCTGGGCACGGGGCCCTCCCACCCCACCCCAGCCGGGCCAGGAAGGCAACGTTGCCATATTGAGTAAAAACCCGTGGAATCTGAACACTCTCGTAGGCTGGGCCGTGCCAGTGTCTGCACCATCTCAGAACCCAGAGGGTGGCCCCCCTCTGCTCGTGGCCCAGGTTGTTCACAGAGGCCATAACAACCTCTGACAAATACCGGGGGAGGCACGGGGCTGCTATTTGCAACCCAAAGTCGCTCCTCCTGGCCCTGACACCTTGAAAAAGCCCAGACTCTGCGTGGCATTAAAAGAAAGAATTAAACAAAAACCTCCTCAGGCATCATTTGCAATGCTGCTCTTGGTGTTAAAGCCTGAAAAATGTCCATCTGTATAAACAGCTCACTGAATTTCATCCACACCAAGTATGGCCATGGGGAAGGCCCCACCCTGGCCCACCAGACGCTGCCCAAGCCTGAGCCCCCAAGACCCTCCTGGCTCGCTGGCTAGCCCTGTGCTGGCCAGGGCTCCCGATCAACTGGGGGCTCTGCCCGCGGGGCAGCCCTGCCTCTGGGAGTGGGGGCACAGAGCCGGGAGGGCCCGAGCCGGTCCTGCAGATGCTGGCGGGCATGGGCGCGGCAGGCACCTGCATGCAGTGGTAGTGAGTGCTCTTCCCGTTGAGGTGGCAGCCATGGTAGTAGACGCTGCAGTCGTCCAGCGGGCTGAAGCGCATGAAGCCGTGCTGCAGGGAGTTGTCGCGCTTCTTGTGCATGTTGTAGTGACGGATCACGTCCTGCTTACTCGTGAACCTCTGCCAGGAGACAGCGCCGCGTGGGCAGGAGCCTGAGCTCCCCCTCCGCCCTTCCTCCCATATGCCAAGAGCACCTGGGCCGGGTGCTGGCCTCAGGTCTCCCTAGAAAGAACCCTGCTTGGGGTCAAGGCAGCCCAGACTGTCCAAGGCCAGTGGCAGGCACACCAGCCCTGGGAGGGAACCATCCCAAAGGTTCTAGAACCACAGATTCTTCCCTGATGCTCCCCTGGGTCCCCAGTGGCCATTCCCAGGAGCCACAGACGATGCATCGGGCCAGGCCTTGAAGGCAGGGGCTCTGATGCTGATGGCTCATCCTGCCCAGTGCACCTCTGGACTAAGGCAGGCTGGGATCCCTGGCAAGCCAGAGGGAGCCGCCCCAGGCAGGCTGCCCCGACTCTCCCCCCACTCGCCAGCCCTGCACTCACCAAGCTGGCAGCCTTGGGCACAGTGGCACTCTGGCTGAACCTCCATTTTATCATCTTTAAGATGGGGCAGTATTGCTAACTTTCTAAGGCCACTGCAAAGAGTCAATTAGGCAAGGCTCACAGGCTGGCTGGCATGGCCTGGACACATGGGAGGCTCTCAGCGAAAGGGGACTGGAATGATCACCACTGGGATGTCATTGGCCCCCAATGCTAGGAGCTGCTCTGTCGGCAGGAATCAGGGAATGTGGGCAGGCTGGTCGTTTTGCGGGCCCTCTGCCTGTTCAAGTCAAGTTTGGGTGATGCAAGTAGCACTAAACCCCCTCCACTCCCCCACCGACTTCTAAGTGCCTCCATGCTGCGCTGGCGGGTGGGGGAGGCGGAGTCCATCTCGCTGTGGCCGTACCTGGTAGTTGCACTCGGGGTCAAGGCAGTGGTAGTGCTCGCGGTACTGGTAGGCACAGTGGATGTGGCCACAGTGCTGGCTGCCCGAGAACCTGGAGGGAGGAGGGGTGGGGTCAGGGCCCTGCTGTGAGTGACAGCCCCAGACCCAACCCCAGCCCCAGGGAGGACACTTCAGGCCCCGTATGGGATACAGAGGGGAGGTGAAGTTGCAGAGGCCCAGGCAAGTGACTGGGTCTGGGGGGAACCTCAGGCCCATTGAGGCAAAGTGGCCTGGCCCCAAGAAGGGGGCAGGACAATGCTGAGGTGGCCAAAAGTCAAAGCAGGGGGAGACAGATGGGGCCCAAGCCCTGGGATGGAAGGGAAGGCAGGCGCCCACGCGGCTGCCCACCTCTCTTTTCTGCAGGGGCTGCCTGCCCCACTCCCAGCCCACCCAGCTCTGGCCAGGTGCAGAGACCCTGGCTGGGCCAGCCCAGGCTCTGATGCTGAGAGGCGTTAAAGAGCTCTCTCTGTCCTGGGCTTTTCCTGACACTTGAAACAGTGCAGAGTTATGAATTTTTAAAGCACAGCATCTGTTTGGCTTCCTGCAGCAAGGAGCTCACTCTCCAGCTGCCGCCGCCGCCAGGAGCCTGTGCTGCCTCCCAGGAAACCCGTCCTCCTCCAGGCCCCACGGCCGCTGGGACGTGGCTCCCACAGCCTCGGTGATGGCCGGCCGTGGGGGGCCGCTCTGGAGAGGCCACACCTTAAAGACTGTGGAGAAGGGGGTGGCTCAGCCCACCTGTCCCCCTCCAAGAGTGACGTGAGATTGCAGGAGACACAGAGAGAAACCCCACACTGTAATGGGAAAACCACGTGCAAACAAGTCTTTAAGCTGAAGCGGCCAAAAGGGCCATCTGTGGAGGCACTAATAATAATGGTAATAATAATACTATAGAGGAGACAGCACGGGGCAGAGCTGAAGACAGAGTGGGACAGGGGGGCACAGACAGTGGGACAGGGGGCAGAGCTGAAGACAGAGTGGGACAGGGGGACAGAGACAGTGGGACACGGGGGCAGAGCTGAAGACAGAATGGGACAGGGGGGCACAGACAGTGGGACGGGGAGCAGAGGCAGTGGGACAGGGGGCAGAAACAAAGCAGGACAGGGGAGCGGAGACAGAGCGGAACATGGAGGCGGAGAGATGGAGCGGGCGGGAGGAACCTGGAAGATCTGCGGACAGACAGGCGCCGGCCGCTGTGTGCTGTCCCATCAGAGGGCAGGCGGTGGGGGATGGGGGCGGGGGGTGTTATTTGTGTGATTTGGGGGAATCTGTTGAGGCAAAGGCTCTTCACTGCCAATCCCACTGCCTTTGGGATGGAAAGGGGTTGGTCTGGAGTCAGGTGGTGTCAGAGCCTCACTGGGGAAGTGCACTGGGCTGTGTCAGAGAGGATGACAGCCCACACCTTCTCTCTCTCTCTCTTATTTTTTTTTTTTTTAAGAGATAGGGTCTCACTCTGTTGCCCAGGATGATCTCAAACTCCTGGCCTCAAGGGATCCTCCCACCTTGGCCTCCCACAGTGCTGGGAATACAGGCATGAGCCATCGCACCCGGCCTGCCTCTACCTTCCCAACCCTGACAGTTGCACAGTGACCTGCACCCTACTCAAAGCTCTGTGTGACAGCAGGACCCAGGCAAGCTGGGGGAGCTGCATTCACTTGTGGCCAGGCCCTGCGTCGGGACCCCAGCCCTACCTGGGGGTACAGGCTGCTAAGGAAATGTGTGGCCTGGACTATACAGAGCGGAAGGAGGCTCTGAGACGGGCATGTGCAGGGCAGCCCTCGGTGCGGTGGAGGGACCGAAGTGGATGGGGGTGGAAGGAGGCAGCTACCTTGGCCCTAGAGGTCAGATGTCAAATGAACGGTCTCAGAGTGCCCGGTCAGTCCTGGCCCCCCACCTTCTCTCCACGGCAGGCTCCTCCCCAGGGGCCTACCTGGCAATATATTTCTGGTAAATGTTTACATCTTCAGTGACGGCTGGTTTATCTGTGGGCAGTCCATTCCTGGCGAGAGACACACAGGGCACAGCCAGTGAGCAGATGGGGCAGCCTTGTGCCACAGGGGCATCTGGGCAGCCCCTGCCGTGAGGCCCCAGCCCCTCTGCTCTGCTCTGCAGTGTCCCAGGCACCCAGGGTGGGACTGAGGACATCCCTGGTGGAAGCTGGCCAGAGGTTCAACAAGCCCAACTCTGGGAGGGCAGGGTCATCTCATGCAGGTGGGGCTGGAGCCCCCCTCGGGCATGGGCCAGCCTGGGGTCCAATGGGGCGGAAAGCTGTGGAAGCCCAGGATCGGTGCCTGGCACTCAGGGGTCATCAGGAGGCTGCTGGCTGAGGGGCACCAGGCCCCCCAACGGGGAGGGATTTGAGGCGGGGGCAGGCAGCTAGGCAGGGGAAGTGTATCCTCGCCCCAGGCAGCAGGTGCTGCCTCGATCTGCTCCCAGCTATGCAGCCTCTCAGGGTCCGGAAGCTCCCCAGGGTGCAGGAGGAGCTCTGGGGAAGGGTCTCGCTCAGCCCCACACCATCCACCATTTGACCAACCAGGCCATTCTTCTGCTCATGGGTTCACGCTGTAAGGGTGTATGCACCTCACCCCGGTCACTACCTTTGCTTCCTGCCTCCTCCAGGGCCCAGGCTCTGAGCCCAGGAGCCAGGGCCACCAGCATGGACCCAGCATCCCCACCCAGGGAGGCGCTTTCTCAGCCAACCACAGGCCTGCATTCGGCGCTCACGGCAGCAGGTAGAGGAAGCCCGTCATGGGCAGATGGGGGAGGCCACAGTCCCGGTGTGCATGCTAGCAAAAGGCACAGCATGCTGGTGCCTGGGAGTGTGGGCGTGTGTGGGAGGTGTGTGCGAGGTGCATGGGAGGGGTGGAGCGTGCAGGTCCCGGAGCAGGGCAGGGTGCTGCAGGAGGGCTCACGCGTGGTTCTGTGGGTGCAAGAGTGAACGTGAGCGCGGCATGCACCTGTGAGTGTGGAAGCACGTGGAGGGGAGCCTGAGTGTGCATGCGCCTGGGTGCACAGTGGATGTGTGTAAGGTGTGAGCGGCAGGTGTGTCCTCAAGCATGGGCAACCCCGGTGAGGAAGGAGGCCTCCTGTCTAGTCTAGCTCCCAGCTCTGGGCGTTGTGGGGTGGGGAGCGCCTTACTTGACAGTGGAGACGGTCCCCGTGGTGATGGAGTCTGTTTTGGAGAAGGCTGACTTCAGGTACTCGGGAGTGTTGAAGGACAGGGAGGCAGGCGGCTCCGGCCCTGGCCCAGGGGCGCTGGGAGCACTGGGCATGCTGGCAAGGGGTGCGGGAGCCAGGCTGGGGGTGGGCGGAACCTTGGCGGGGCCTGGCTTCTGGATGCCCCGGACGTCATACTTGGAGGGGCGCCCCACCTTGCCCGTCTTGAAGGCGATGGCCCCGCCCATGTCGGGGCTGCCCTCCCCAGGTTTGAAGAGGTGCAGGTACTTGACATTCTCCAGGTCGTACTTGGATGGCTTCTTGTAGGTGCTCCCGTTCTGGGGCCGCAGGTTCTCGCCGGTCTTCAGTTTTTGGATGAAGAAGTCATACTTGGAGGCCCGGGCCACCAGGTTCTGCATCTGGACACTGCTGTGCGACGGCAGGGGCAGGATGGTGGCCTTGGTCTCCAGGTGGGCCGTGCTGCTGGGCAGCCGCAGGCCGGGAAGGGGGCCCACCACCTCCTTGCCCACCCGCTCCTCAGTCTTGGCGCCGGGGGCCGGCCAGGAGAGCTGCTCGCCAGCCTTGAGCTTGCGGATGTACTCCTCGTACTTAGAGAACCGTGCCCGCTTGCTGAGGGTATCCTCGGAGGTGGGCAGCATGGAGGAGGTGGCCGCCTCTGGGGTGGAGCCCGCGTGTAGCTTCTCAAAGCTGATCTTCCTGGCCAGCTCGTCCCGCGTGTTCTGGTCGTCATAGCCAAACATGCCAAGGAACTCCGTCATGGTGGAGGCCGCGTAGTCCCGCAGCGAGGAGGCCTCTCCTGCAGAGGAGGAGGGGGGCGCATCACCTCTGGAAGGGAGTGGGAGGGACAGGCGTCCCCCCAACAGGAGCCCCCACCCATAGAGGGAGGGGGTCAGTGTGGGGAGGGGCAGAGCAGGACATGATCTATGGACATTTGGCTCACTTGTTAGGTTTTACGACTCTTAAATTAATTTGTTTTAAAAAAAAGTAATTAATACTGGGGTAAAATAAAACGAGTTCATCAATGCCAGGAAAATCAATTTCCTAAATGTTCTGGCCGATGGCTTTTCAGTACATTAAACAAAGTTTCATAAATGTCTCCGCTCTCTCGCCTTGGCCTAATATGAAAGAGAAGTCATTTTACTGGAAGTAAGGCCAGATCCCAACCTGCCTCCCAGGACAGGGAGTGGCAAGAACCGGAGACAGGTAGGGATGTGGGCCGGTGGGCAGTTGAGCGGGAGCCCAGGGGTGAGGAAGATGCTCTGGCCGGGGTCGGGCTGGGCCTGGCTGGAGGACCTCCCTTGACCCGGCAAATGGATCCCCTGGGCGGATGAAGGGTCCACTCCAAGCCTTCCTGGGACCCGGTCTCTTGGCCTCCCCATACCTTCCCAGGTGCTGGGGGTCCCTGACAACACAGCTCAGCCAGGGGCGGGTGTGTGGATGTGCCCCGGCCTGTGACATAGGACCTGGACGTGTCCTCCAACCCTCTGGCCTCCTCCAATCACTTGCGCTCACACAAGGCTGGGCCACCCAGGGAGGGCAGGAGTCCAGGCAGGGCCTGAGTGCAGCCTCCCCACTGTGGCCACCCCTGGGCACACCAGGAAGCCTGGAGCCACCTCCCCACAGTGACATGCTCGCACACTCTCACACACCAACACACAGGCACACACACAAACCCACACACAGTCATATGCACACAATCACATACAACACATACATGCATTCTCAGACATACACCCATTACAGTCACATTCACACAATCACATACAACACACATGCATTCTCACACACACCTACACGGTCACATGCACTCACACACAACACACAGACATTCTCATACTGTCACCCACACAATCACATGCACTCACAACACACACATGCATTCTGACACACACACCCACAGTCACATGTACACAATTACACATAACACACACATTCTCATACACTCTTACACACACAGTCACATGCAGTCACATACAACACACATATGCATTCTCATACACTCTCACACACCCACACACAGTCACATGCACTCACATGCCATCACATACAAACTCACATAAACCCAGTTAATTACATGCATACAATCACATACAACACACACATGCATTCTCATACACTCTCACACACCCACATTCTCACAATCGCCAACACACACATGTATTCTCACACACCTACACGGTTACATGCACACAATCACATACAACACACTCATGCATTCTCATACACTCACACACCTACACACAGTCACAACACACACATGCATTCTCATACACTCTCACATCCTCACACACAGTCACGTGCAATCACATAAAACACACACATACACTGGCACCCCCCAACCCCCCATCACATGCTCAGAATCACATACAACACACATGTGCATTCTCATACTCTCACACCCACACACCCAGTCACGTGCATACAATCACATACAACACACACGCCTTATCACACACTCTTACCCGCACATATGTACAATCACATGCACACATATGCCATCACATACATAAACCCACACACACGGTCACATGCACACAATCACACACAACACACGTGCAATCACACCCACTACACACCCAGTCATGTGCTCACAATCACACACACTCTCACATACACCCAGACACGCAGTCACATAAAACTCATGTACTCGCTCACCCCCCCCACAGTCACATGCAGACTCTCACATAAAACACACACCCAGACACAACACACACACACTCATACAGACTGACTCACACACACTCATACAGACTGACACACACAGACACCACACACTCACACACCTCACACACTCTTGCACGCACACTCGGGCTCCCCAGCTCCTATCCCTGGCTGCCTTCCCACCTCTGCAGACACACAGGTACACAACTCCCGGAACCCCTGCCCCGGGTCTCTCGGAATGAGGGAGAAGGCAGTCCCAGGCTAATTCTGAGCTGTTCGTGTGGACCTGCCTCTTCTACACACGCCCCACGCCACGGCCGAGGCGTGACCCCAGTGCACACGCACACTCGCCTCTTCACTGCCCTTGTGCTACATGCCTCCTGTGTGCCTAACCCTGACGCAGGGCATGGCACATGCACACATATGCCATGGCACATGCCCTGTGTCAGGGTTAGGTGCACCCGCGAGACTGATACCTGCACGGCCCCCGGGGACACCATGTTCTCTCTGCTCATGTGCAAGGCAGCCACATGGGCACGCTCAGGGTGACAGGACCCCAGGCTGACTACACAGCCAAGGGAAGGCGTGGCTGGGGGTCTCCTCCCAGGTGAACCTGCCAGGCCTGGGATCCTCAGAGATACCTGGGATGGGGGTTTAAAGGGGCAGGGCTGGGCCTGGGGAGGGGAGGACGCCGGTGGGATGTGGAAGGAGAGGCTGTGGGAGGGCCTGGCCACCTGGCACCCAGGGTGCACAGAGGGACTCAAGAAACTAACAGACAGCTGTTCCCCTGGGGCGGGGCTGTCGGGTCAGCCACTGTCCTGACCTCAAGCTACACAGGGTTGGGGGGCCCAGCTCGGGAGGAGTGGGCTCTGGCTGCTGGATTCAGTGGCTCAGGGACCAGGGAAAGGGGCTAAAAATAGCTGGAGGCAGCTGAGCCCTCGCTATATATGGCAGAGAAACAGAAGCTTCGAAGGGCAGGCAGCTTGCGCAGGGAGGGGACCAGGCAGGGGTCCCTGAGGGGGCCCACAGGCCTGCATGGCCAAGCTCAGGGCCCAGAGAAGGTGGCCTGGGAGCCAAGCCCACGGGGGCAGCTGGGGCTCCGCAGTCAGTCTCCTCCAGCGCTCACGGCTGAGCAGGCAGTCCCAGTGTCAGGGCTGAGGGGCGAGGCCTGAGTCCCCCAGGCCACAGGCAGTTCCAGGCCCACCTCTGCCAGCCCCGCTCTCCACTCCCCTGGAGGAAGGAGGCAAGGGCTGAGGCCCACTCCGCTCCCTGCCAGCTGCGGGCAGAGCTGGCCTGGGTGGAGGTGTGGAGGGGATGGTGGCCCTTGTCGCGTCCCTCTCCTCTCCTCAGGCCCAGCACAATCACCTTGTGTCTGGCAACGGCAAGGGCTTTTCCTATCAGAGGAAACTGAAGGTCACACTTTTCCTCATTGATCTTGCAATGTTTGTTAATTACTCTGTCACTGATGTGGCGAAGGATAATTAAACAGCTCTGTTTATATCTTATATGCATAATTATGTGGCTGCGCAGGGCTCCCCGCACAGGGAGGAGATGCGCCCCTCGCTGCAGGGGAAGGGCTAGGGGAGCGGGCAGGGGAGGCGCAGGGCACCAGACACAAGGCTGGGAAGGAGGCCAGGGGCAGAGAGAAGGCCCAGACCTGGGGGCTGTGGTCCTGGCGACCCCCTTGCCTGCTGGAACCCCAGGCCCGCCCTCCCCTAAGCAGAAGGCGTGCAGGGCTGCTCTGGATCCCCAGGACGTGGAGATACCAGCAGAGCAGGGCCTCCGTGCCTCGTGGGAGAGAGGTCAGCCAGGGGACCGTGGCCGGGGCAGCTGGCTGTAAGAAGATACGGCTGGCCGGGCTGGCAATCCGTGTGGCCCTGAGACGTCCTGCTGGGAGGGCCAGGGACAGCAGTGTAGGGAAGGAAGAGGAGGCCAAGGGGAGTGGCGGGAGAACAAAGCTTGTCCTGGGCTCCTCCGAGAAAGCGCCCTAAGTAGCAGAATGCGCAGACAGCAGGCTCACAAGGTTCATGCTGTTGACCACTGCGCCCCTCTTGTGCCAGGTACTGTGCCCGGTAAGCTCAGGCCTCACAGGTGTGTGTAAAGAGTCACCTACCCACCATCTGTCCAGCCATCTATCCTATCCGTCCATCTATCCAGCCACCCTCCCTTCCTCCCTCTCCACCTGTCCACCCCTCTGCCTGTGGTTTCTCAAAGACCCACTGTGTGGGGCAGCTCCAGCCCTTCCCTTCTCACCTGGGGTGCCCCTCCCTGTCCTAGTCTCTCCCACTCCAGGAGTCCTCCCTGGGTGGGACGAGGGGCAGGTATTTAGAGCAGGAGTGAGGAGTCAGGTGTGCTCACCAGACACACTGTCCCTTCCCTGATGGCCTCCCTGTCCCGGCCTTCAGCCTCCCTTCGAAGGCCAGGCACCCACCTGAAGGCTGCTTGGCGCTGGGGCCGCTGTCCTCCTTGGTGGCTGCCCCGTCCGAATCCTTCTCCTCCAGGGCACCGCTGTCCTTGGAGGGCTCCTCCGCGTGGTCTTCCTCATCGCTGCACCCCTGGGGCTGCACCATGTAGACACCCTCGGGCGGTAGCTCCAGACCCTCGCGGGCAATTCGCCCCAACACGGGTGTGGGCGCCGGCTCCTCGCTGTACTCCCCGTTCACCCACTTCTCGATCACCGCCCGTCTCTTGTCTTCTTCGCTGCGGGGGGCCCGGGCTGCCCCAGACTCAGGGCCACTGCGCTCTGGGTCCCGGGGCCGCGATGGGCTGCCCTCCGCGTGGGAGCCGGCGTCAGCTCGCTTCTCCACCACCACCTGGCGGCTCAGCTTGGCGCAGATGGCGTTCAGCTTCAGGCCGCCCTTGCGCTTGGGTGCCATGGTGGGCTTGCCTGCAGGCGGGTCCGTGCACCGGGTGCCCTCAGCTGCAGGGATGGAGGAGGGCATGGAGGTCAGAGGTGTGCAAGGCCAAGCACAACCCACCCTCCCAAACAGCCCTGCATCCCCCAAGCTGCAGGCCTCCCCCATCAACCACAGTTCCATCAAACTGCCCTGAGCCTGCCTGGCACATGTCTGTCTCCTCCACTAGTCTACGAGTTCCTTGGCAGCGCTTGAGAATCACTCTACTTTCTGGGCCTGGCAGGGTGCCTGGCACAGAGCAGGTAGGTCAAGAAGTAATCTGTAAATGAACAAATGAATGAATGAACGACTCTTCAACTACAAGGGGCGCCCAGGTCCTGGAGGCATTTCCTAGGCTTGCTGGGCCCTGGGAGGGGCTGTGCCCTTTGACACACAAGGAAACTGAGGCCCAGGGAGATTAAGGAGCCGGCTATGCAGTCAGGCTTTCAAGGGACAGCATGGAGTTGCTGGCGGTCGGTTCCACTTGGGAGCATCCTGCCTCACCACACATCCCCGGGGAGAAGTCACAGAGAGCCAGGGACCAGCCTGTGCCAGCCTCTTGCCTCACTGTCCCAGCAGCACTTGGCTGGCACCTCCCACCTGAGCACGTCAGCACCTGGCAGCTCCTCTGCCAGGCCAGGTCCCTGGGCCTCACCTGACTCCAACCCTGCTCAGTAAAGAGCAGAGAGCTTTTCTCCCAGCCACTCAGGACCCTCCTGAAGGCCTCCGTGTTCCTCAATCTCCTCCTGGCCTCAGGGTCTTCCCCAGCCCTTGCCAGTCCCCTCTTGGCCTCTCTGGCCATTTCCTGTTGCCGCTCCCTTCCCCAAGCCTCAGTCAGAGCTGTCCAAGCGGAGTTCCTCACAGCCCTTCCTAGGGCCACTTGTCCCTGTCCTAGGACCTGGCTCCCCAGCCTCGGCCAGCCCCTGCAGCCCCGGAAGGCCTGGCCAGCCCACTTCCCAACCCCCAGGAGCTCCAGCTGGAGCAGGGTGGGATCGCTTAGATCCCTCATGGAAAGCCCCGAAGCGCCGGTCACAGCACCTAATCCCTGAACACGACAGCCCGACACACACAGCTGGAAGCCCTAACGAGGCGACTTGAAAGCCAGCGATCTCCCTCGCGGACGCACAGCCTGAACTCTGTCCCTGATAGGGCACCGAGGGTCCTGGGGGGCATATGGCAAGCCCACCCACCACACGGCCTGGGAGAGTGGACACACACACACACACACACACACAGTGTGGCCACATGTGGAATTGTCTGTCTGTCCATCCATCCATTTAAGTGAGCTCCTTCTGTGGGCCAGACCTTGTGGTGCGGCTGACGGCAGTGGCCACAGCAGCAGGGGCTCAGCTCACACTCATTGTGTACAAAACAAAATGTGCCTCTTCGTGGCCCTCACTGGAGACGTGGGCGTGTCAGAGTCTCCACACAGGTGGGAAGGCTAAGTGAGGGCAGGGCCCCCGGCTCCAGGGTCAGAAGGGGCTTCACTCTAAGATCACCCCCTGCCAACTTTCCACACACCTGGAAACCCAATGAGAGGCCTACTCAGGCAGGAATGGCAATACCTGGGTCCACCCAGGGGCTGCATCCCTGAGGTGAACTTGACTCATACGCACAGATAACCGTCCCCCGATAGACACAGAGCCTGGCAGTCTCAGCCAGATCCTTCCCTTGTAGCCAGTGGCCAGTACGGATGGCTCACTTGGCCCAGATGAGACACAGTGATTCTAGCCCGGCCAGGCCCACTGCCAGAGAAGGGGCTTCTCAGCCTACTCCCAGGCCTTACAGTCCTGTGACCCTGGCTTCAGGGCCTTAGACACTTGCCCAGGCTGATGCCCACTCTACCCAGGTTCGTCCACATCTCTAAGTCTGTGCTGCCCATATCCAAGACCCCGAGCACGATGTGGGGCCCCTCTTGAAGTTCTGAGACGGGGCCTCCTCTTCACAGCGTCCCACTAGACCTCGGAGCTGCCCAGCAGGTTCTGTGACCCGGGTTTCCTCCAACAGGCCTCCGGGGGAGCGGGCCTCACCTGGTCCCCTTGTCCCCTGCCCTGGATGGGGAAAGGAAGGGGGAGTGGGGAGCCTGCACTATTTTTACCAGGAGGTAAGCAGCCAAGTGTGGATGGCAGACGGCAAATGAATCTATAAATATTTATCCTAAGGAAGAGGGAAGCAGAAGCTCCCAGGGCTGCACTTGCTGCTGGTGACGCCCCCTCCCTGGGCCCCCACCCATCCTGGAGCCTCCCCGCACTTTGGCCCACCCAGTCCAGCCCACCTTCTCCCCATCTCGGCTGTGTGCCTGGCTCAGTCCCTGCCCGGGCCCCCACCAGCTGCGGTGCAGCTGTGTACCCAGGACCCGCCCCCAGCCCCAGGCCCCTTTGCTCCTGCCGACTCCCCCGGCACCTGCCCTCCAGCTGCTGCGCTGCCCCAGCCCACCTGCCTTCCAGATGCTGCCCTCCCTCTCCCTCTCCTGCTGGTCCCAGGGGTGGAGGTGGGAGGCGTGTAGGCCGGGGACACAGGGGCAGGAGGCAGAGGTAGGGCTTAGGTTTGTAAGTGCAAGCGCTTGCGACACTAGGCAGCGGGAACGGGGGTGCGTCGGAGCTGAGGTCTAAGCTGCCCGCCGCCTTCTGGCCCAGGGCCCTGGGATCCATAGACGATCCCCCCCACACCCCCGCCACCCCGCTGTGGTCTGACCCCAGACTCCTGTCCATGTAAACATTCCCCTGACTTTCTTCCCTAAAATATAAACGCCGTGGCCAGGCCTCAATGGAAGGAAGCCATCCGTCCCCAGCCCTGTCACTGCCCCTTTCATCTCCTTCCCGCCACCAGCCTGCCCGCTGCTCTATTTACACTGGACACTTCCTCTGGGAACAATACTGCCCAGGAGGCAGGCTTGGGCCAGAGGGTGGGAAGGCGAGGGGACTCCTGCTCTGCTTCCCCGGAGACGGAGACAGGAGAGGCAAGGGGAGGGGCCACCGAGGGGGGCTCGGCCGGGCCTGGGACCCACGCACAGCCAAAGCCCACTCTCTGCTGGTGGCGGTGCTCTTGGCCTCCAGCCTCTGGCCCCAGGGGCTCTGGCGCAGCACCAGGATATGGCCTAGCCTCTGGGGTCAGGGAGTCGTGAGCTCACGGCAGAGCTCTGCCCTGCTCTGCCCTGCGCTAGCTCTGGCCCTGGGCAAGATTTTTCCGTGTAGAAAGGTGGCTGGCTACCAGGCGAGAGGGCACCTGTCTGTGCCAAGCACAGCGCCCGGCAGGCATGAATCTGGGAAAAGGCAGCTGAGCCCTGGGAGGGCCACCAGGCAGATTTGGTGCCACACCTGGGCTTGAGATTCCAAGGCTGAGAAACCTTACCTGGCCTGGAAGAGGCAGGGGACAGAGAAGAGGCCAGAGGTCTGGGGCAGGGGTGGGCTGGCCTCTCAGCCCCTCCTCGGATTCCCAGGTTCGGGACCTTCCCTCTCAGGGTGCCACGAGCAACAGTCCCCCAGCAGGTCTCGGACCTGAGCAGACCCTGCACAGGGTTGGGGGAAAGGGGCATGGATTGGACCGTCCACCTTTCCAGGTACTAACGGATGACTCGTAACGGCCCAGCGGAGCCAGCACTGTCATTGTCCCATTTCATAGAGGAGGACGCTGATCCTGGAGCTGTAGACACCCCAGAGCCCAAGCTCACCCTGGCCAGGAGCTCCCGAAGGCGGGGACTCGGCCCTATCCCCATTAGGGCTCCTGAGCCAGCCCTAGGAAATGCCAGGCCTCTCTGCAGGGACTCCTTCCCCTGCCCCGTCCCCTCCTCACCCTCACTTCCTGTTCCCATAACACGGATCCCCCTAAAGTGTTAACTGCGATGGGTAAAACGGTGCAGCAGATTGCTACAATAAATAATTTACTGATATTTATAAATATTCAAATCAGCCGGCTTCAGAAATCGAATGAAGGGAGGGCCTCGGAAGAAGCCCCGTTATGGCATGAATCTCATCGCTCCCTCCACAGGCTGGGGCAGGCCAGGGTTCCTGCCGGCTCTGGGTGAGCGGGGCGTTCCTGTTGCTGCACCTGGATCCCCAGTCTCCTGGTCTCGCTGCTCTCTCGGGGTAGCCTGCTCAGGGCCAGGCCCCCTCCCACAGGCATCCTGGGTTCAAGGGGAGCAGAGGCTCCAGCGCCCACCGCCCACGGCCCTGGGTCTCAGAGCTGCTTGTCCTGCCTCGACAGTCGGTGGGGGCGGTGGTCTTTCCCAGGGGGCTGGGCAGGCCTGGCAGCCCCTCCCCACCCGTGAGTAATGTGTTTTGGGGCCGGGCTGCCTGTCAGCTCCTGGGCTCCGGGTGCTTTATGGGCTCTGCTTGGTGGCTCTGAACTCCCTGGTAGGAAATAAAGTTCTCCCTGCGCGTCCCTTCTAAACATTTCACTCAGTGGAAACGGTGTTTAAGAAAAATGAGGACATATTTCTTCCTAAGGATGCAGTATCCCCTTTGGGCGGCCTAATGCCCGCTGTATATCAGGAGGTGGGGAGGCAGGGGCCAGGAACCAGTCCCTGGGGTGGGGGTGGGCTGGGGCCCCGCCTTCCCACTGCCAGGCAGCTCAGGGGCCACTCTGGTAGCTGCCCTGCGCCATGGTGTCTGGGGCCATAGAGCAGCTGGCATCCTCTGAGCACCTCGTCTGTGTTGGGTGCCTTACGGTGCCACCTTGTTGATGCCCCCAGGAGCCCCACATGGTCGGCTGTCCTGTCCATTCCCACATAAGGAAGCAGAGGCGGCCAGGCTGGTAGCTGCCCACAGTTAGCGCTGGAGGCCAATTCCCACCAGGCTCAGATGCCCAAGGTCATAATCTTCAGCCCCACCTGTGTCCCCCACAGCCTCCCATCTAGGCATCTTGGAGTCAGTGGCGGGCAGCTGCCGGGGCTTCCACCCTGCCATTCCCCTCCGAACTTGCAGCTCACGGGCCATGAGCCCCAGTTTTTTTTTGTGTGTTTTTTTTTTTTTTTTGAGACGGAGTCTGGCTCTGTCGCCTGGGCTGGAGTGCAGTGGCCGGATCTCAGCTCACTGCAAGCTCCGCCTCCCAGGTTCACGCCATTCTCCTGCCTCAGCCTCCTGAGTAGCTAGGACTACAGGCGCCTGCCACCTCGCCTGGCTAGTTTTTTGTATTTTTTTAGTAGAGATGGGGTTTCACCGTGTTAGCCAGGATGATCTCGATCTCCTGACCTCGTGATCCGCCCGTCTCGGCCTCCCAAAGTGCTGGGATTACAAGCTTGAGCCACCGCGCCCGGCCGAGCCCCAGTTTTGGGGTGCTGTG